ATAATTTTTGAATCTTAATTTGCTTTATTTATTCATTTTCTTTTATAATTTTCAATTTTATTTAATTTTTTTTTTGCAATTTTCAATCATGAATAATTGATAAATGATATGGTACGATATTAAACACTATTCAATTTATATAATTTCTGATTAACATAGCTTTTTTAAATTTTTCTTTTTCTTTTTTTTTACTTTATTAATTTATTGCTTTGTGAATTTCCTACAAGTACCGCTTGCCCTTTAAATATTTTACTATGCCTAAAAACATACATATTACACTCTTGTATAGCCATTCGCTTTGTTGTAAATTATATTTTCAAAGTCAAGTTGCGAAATGTTCTCCACACTTAAACACAAACAAATCTACATGAGCTTATTTATATACAGTTGGAATTCGAGTACGTAAATATTTATGTATCAGTATATGTATGTATGCGTGAATGTATGTGTGAGTACATGTCTACACTCGTGTTCATTTGCAATTTGACTTTATCATTTTACTGCAGTACTAAATGAATAAAATCAACAAAAAAGCACAACTTGTGATACGCTCACGCGCTCATTTGCGCACACGCTCAGCTCCATTATGCGAAGAGCTCGTTCAGCTTAACCCCCTTCACCGCTGACGCGCTGCTTATAAAGACAGTGGCAACAAAGCTTTTAACAACTCGCAAAAATCGTTGCGAACGTGACTACTTTAACTAGCAGAAATCGCTAGACTGACTGCCGGTTGCCCCCTTGACCAAAGTCGTGCTGGTCGGCTGTGGTAAGACTACTTGTTGTGCTCGTAGAACAATTTTATGGCGAACTTTGACTAGAAAATTGTAATGAAAGGAAATAGCAGCTCTCAAGCCGGCGAGATTCTTCTATATGTATATTTGTCTCCGAGTAATCACTCAAGCAAATTTGAAACCTACAGTTTTGAAAAAACCCTTTTAAAAATCAATCGATAGAGCGGATTGAACTGAGCGGCTACACTGTAGAAGACTCTGACGTAATTACTATTTGAGATATCGATTTAAAATTTTAGTATGTGATTTTTAAAGGTCTAACCTATGGACACATAAAAAAAAATTTGTTTTTACATTTTCCAATAAGTAGATGCACCTCTTATCTAGTTCCCTCTGCTGAAACGCATTAAATAATCAAAAAACGCTTTTGGAATTATACTTTGCGCTTACTCGGCTTCAACGTAGCCGTAGCTTGCGCCTATCACAGTCTCTGCCAAGACATTTGCTATTATTGAGCGAATGTTAGCGCGCACGAACATCAGCCGTTGCGGCAGCTTATTGCTTCGCGCTAGCGAATTGTGAAATTGCTGTGCGAAATTCAATATACAATTGCAAGGTTTTCAAATTAAACACACATTTTTCCTAATAACATGACTATTCTGAAATGCTCTTAATATGAATTGTATTTTTTTACTCTCCAATATATGTATGTATATAAATTAAATTGATTTCAGGCAAATTTAAATTTTTTGTCATATACATAGTTCAAGAGAAACTATAATCAATTACTTATTTAATTAATTATTATTAACGTATATCATTTACATTTGCTTATTTATATTGTTTTTTTCGAGATCAAGAATAATTGTCATACTTGGTGTTTTTTTATCTGCCTCGGAGTAATCCACCTCGTCATTTTGAGACATTTTTTTTGGTCTCAGAAATGATTTCCACTTACCGATTCCTTAATTTTGTGACGTTTTTTATAGCTTAATCTCAGGTCTTCGAGAAAAATTCTTCAAAGAATGCGAGTAATATGCAGTCTCTGAAGTGCTATCAGCAATTGATCTTCTCAGTGAATTAACTAACGGAGCTTAACACCAAACCATTCTTATGGTATAATATTAACTCATACAACACATACGTACCCAATTGTTCAATTTTAAATTAGTCGTTCTGCGCTCTAAGGGCCACTCTACCCATTTACTCATTTCATCAATTATTATCATCGATTCTCATATTTTGTATTGATTTATTTCGAGATCCTCGTCTGATTGACGAGACTCTAAGTACCTCATACTCAGTAAATGTTATCTTTACTAATTTTAATGCATGTTTTGTTCTAAATGTTTATAATATTTAACTCACAGCCAAGTTTAATACCAACCCATTTAAGAACTTGTGATCCAAGTAGATGTACATTTTTCAGTAGCCTTCGTTTGACAGATTTGAGTCGTGTCAAGCTGTCAATTTATTTTTGTTCTATATTGTTTGACATTTCGTCATGGAAAAACTTAAGCTTGACTTTATTAAGAAAATGGGCGTTCTGTAAAGAATATGTTTCTCGCGCCTCGCTCAACTTATGGTCAACGTAATTGGCCTACTGAACATTCTATTCGCAACACCATCATCCATCCCGAGACCCAGCATTCATTATTGAATTATATTTGACCAAATAGAGCACGTCCAGCACGCAGTGAAGAGAATATAGCAGACGTAACTAAAAGTGTACATAAAGATCATGGAGAGTCGATGCGACGCCATTCACAGCAATTCGGACTGACGTTTGGGGCGACTTGTCACATTTTACGTCGAGATCTTATATTGAAGGCGTACATAATACAGTTTGTGCAAGAAGTGAAGTCTTCCCAAGCGACATCGCTTCGCTCTATGAGCTCCTGAAAAGTTCCAAGAAGATTCGAGATTTTCGAGCCAAATTTTGTTTAGCGATGAGAACCATGAGTACGTAAGCAAGCAGAAAAATAACGGTTTTATGTGGTTTGTGAGTCCGTGAAATTATCGGTCTTTATTAATGATTCAGAGGAAAACGTAACCGTCAATGATGACCGTTATCGCGTTCCCGTGCCCACGACAGTCGGGTCTACGTAACCGGAACGGACCCGGATTTTTATCCGGCCAAGGACTGTCAACTCGGCAGAATTCTGCCGCTAAAACAACAACAACAACCGTTATCGCACCATGATAACCGACTATTTGATGACTGAAATTGAGTCCCGCGATCTCGGCGACATTTGATTTCAACACATCCTACACATCGCATCAATCAATGGAGCTATTGAGAGAACACTTCGGTGAGCAGTTAATTTCACGTTTTGGGCCGGTCGATTGGTCAGCAGCATTGTATGATATCACATCGTCAGACTTTTTCCTGTGGCGAGATGTAAAGTCTAAAGTCTATGCGGACAATCCCGCTTCGATTCAGGTCTTAAAGCAAAACAACAGGGCGTGTCATTCGCCAGTCAACGTCAACGTCAACGAGTCAACTAAAATTGTAGTCAATAGATGTACCATCTGAGATGTAGCCACGACCAACATTTGCAAATGATAATCTTCAAAAAATAAAAGCCAAATAATGCTCTTCCGAATGATAATAAACGCTCACCATTAAATTTGAAGTTTTTGTGTGTTTTCTTTAAAAACGTAGGGAATCTCAAATTGTTTCCCCCTTCTATATTAATACCGTCTCATACGATACACTAGTTATCTAATTGAAAATAAAAAGGCATATATTTAAAATCCGCCTGAGATCAAATTCAAACCTTTTATTTCTTAATTTTTGAATTTCAATTTATGGCTTTTGTTGCTTCTTTGTCTGTAAATTTTTTGAATTTCTTTTTTTTTTTTGGAATTTGTGTTTTTTTTTCAATATTTTCTTTATAAAACAACGCATACAAATCAAAACAAATGCTTAAACAACATAATTAAAAAATTCAGTGGCTATTATACATTTTAGCGCAGCAAGTATAAGGCTACAAATTAACCAATATAGCACAGCGTTGCATTTTTTTGCAAATAATTTTTCACACGCTTACATAATATGCTATAATAATTGTACATTTCGGTTTAGGAGCAAAGTAAAAACTCAACAACAATTAAGAATTCGAGTGTTTCAGTAAATTCACTGCAACTACAATACATTATATAAGGGCAGTTTAGAGTTACTTTTTGTTTAAATATTTACATAAATCACTTTGAATGAAAAAATACTAAGTATTTAATTTATAAAAAAAAATGGAAGGCGGATGGTGACGTGAGGAACAATAATAAAAATTTTCAACGTTGTCTACAGTAAGCACTGCCAAAGTAGAAGAAGCTTTAACGCCTGCTAGCACGAGAGGCCCAGCCAGCGCCACGGTGCGTGTGTCTGCCAAACTGCATACATCCATGTTAGCCGCGCGCGTGTATGCATGTTACCAACACTGACGCGGCGGCCCGGCGACCGGCCGACGACAGTTGAATTGTTTGCCTTAGCGCCGGCAAACAACTGGCTGCTTGCAGTGCAACAAACAACAACATTGACAAACAAACATTGTGTGATGACAAACGACGACAACAACAACAAACCCCATGATGTGAAAGTATGTTTATGCCTGCATATGTGTGTGTGTAATTGTTGCTGCGGTGGAGGAGGAGTTGTAGGATGGCGTAATCATACAGCGCCTGCGCTTAGATATCCAGCTACCGCACCGACCACCACAATGTACACGTAGATGACTTTCCTACCACCAACGCTGCAATTGCCGCTGTTGCTACATCGTCGACGTCATATATATATAGAATACACAAGCATGTGTAATCAGCTCATTTCGACGTCATCATCCACAACAATTGCATGCTGCTGGCTACTATTGCCGGTGGCAGTTGTGTGCGTATGCGAATAATTCAACGGCTCCGTATTGCTAATATCACAGTCGTCAGCGTCAGCGTCTTCGTCTTCTTGACAGTCTTCTTCAGTAACAAAGTGGTGTGCGGCAGCAATATTTTGACTATTGTTGTCCACTTGGCAGTCTTTAGTGTAATGCATTTGCTGTGCTCCCCCCTCCACACGTGATGGTGTTTGTTCCAACACATCGGTGTCATCATCGCTTTCCATTTCCAAATCATCCAAATTTGTATCAACCGAAAGGTAGACGTAATCGTGTGGCCGCTGTTGCTTCAGCCACGGCGTTAAGAATACCTCATCGGCATGCAGACGTTCCTTGTAGTCCTTACAAAGTAGCAACAAAAGTAGCCAACGCACCGAACGCGGTAAACAGGAGGGTATCTGTACCTGACCATGCCGTATGATCGTAATCAGATTGCAGTTGGGTCGCTCATAGAACGGATATTGGCCAACAAGCATTGTATACAGTATCACGCCTAGCGACCACATATCGGCGGGCTTGCCTTGATAAGTCGGGTTCGGGCAGAGCAGTTCGGGTGCAGTGTAGAGCGGGCAGCCAATCTTGTCGCTCAATGTGTCATCCGCGGGATCGTTGAGTATCATGGAGCCCTCCAACGATTCATACTGGATTTTCGTTCTAAAATGAAAGCAAGAAAAAGAAAAAAAATGAGAAATTAGTTTTGTTTTCAAATAATTTGTTGAATAATAACTACATTTAATTTTGTTAAACAAAAACCCCGAGTATTGGCTTGTCGAAAAAGTCTTTTCGTATTTTGTTAATAGTTGTCGTTGCAGTCGTATATCTCCAGTGCTACCGATCACATTGTGTGATACCATACAGTGTTTTATTTATTAGTATAAATATATAAAAAAATATATATAAAAAAAAAAGTTTGATTAGAAATACGAAAAGACTTTTTCGACTACCCAATATATATATCTGTATGTATGACTTTCAACACGAAAATTCCCACTATAATGCAACAGCAAAATCGCTGACCCAACAATAAATAATCGAAATGTTTTTTGTGCAATTGTACACTTTTGAAAGCGTTGAATACATAATTCAATGTCGGCCGGCAGGGCACGCGGCGTTCAAATGCAATTGAGTAAGCCACAACAACAACAGCAGCGCCAAGCGTCAAGTAAGCGAATCAAAAATGAAAACAAATTAAAATCAATTATTCAATACAAAGTTGAGAGCGCAACGTGGAGCCAACAATCAGCAGCAAAAGAGCCTGCAAACTGTAGGCCTCTGTGGCTGGCAGCAAACGAGTGCGCTCAGCAGCAGATATGGAGCAACAGCGCGCCATTATTGCGTGCGCTGATCTTTCAACAGATCAACTGATCGTCAAAAGTCAAATAATCAATGAAGCAAGCATTTCAAATAGCCATACGCGATGTGTGAAGGGTTTGGCTTTATGCGCGCAACAAATCGAAGCGGGGGAAGCTGAACGCTTAATGCCACGATTACTCTTTTTTTCGTCTGCCAAAACCGCAAAGCATATGCGATTGAGACTGTGAAATAATTGCAACAAAAATGACGACGATTGATTGAGCCAAAACACCGTAGTAATGAGTGAGCTCACGTTGTTGTGCAAACGCGCGTCATCCGGTATAGCAAGCGCTTCAAAAATATGTATGTGGTTGATCAATATGTATACAGTTGTTCAGAGTGTCAATATGTTTGCATGTTTGTAGCTGACATTGAGCAAAAGCAAATCAATCTTGATTGAAATGAGGCAATCCACAGCGCTAAGTGTTAATATGACGTAAATTAATGAGCCGCAGCAACACGGGTAACTGTAGCACAGCGCTGCTAGCAAAAAAATAAAAATGGGAATTAATTTGTATACACAAATGATATAAAGTAGGCGTTGGCTCAAACTGACTTTGGCTGAGCTAGCGCGCATTGGAAAAAACTGCAATGACCCATTGACCTGAAAGCGCGTACAGCTTGATTGGCGAGCAGCAAGCGGGCGCGGCGCTAGAGACTTAGAAAGCTTCGACTAAGTGTCATTTATAGCATAATAGAGCAATAGCACAGTAAAAATGGCAGGTGAGCGCACAAGAGGCAAGCGCGAAAGTGGGCTTGGTATGGCGAGCAGGCAAGCAAGAAACCAGCGCCAAAAGGAAGCACGCCAAATTGCATTGAAGAGCAAAGAAAAAATTTAAAAAAATATATATAAATAAATATATAAATATATGTACATATGTATGCATGTATGTGTGTATGTATGTATGGCATATGTGTACGAGCACATGAAAGAAGCACTGAGAATTCGAATAACTAAAAACCTCGCGCTGACCCTGATATTACCACTAACTAGCAACTGTAATAGCACTACAAGTGGGGGTAATGCAATAAATTTTACAACAAATACAAATACGCGCATATGAGCAGCTAACAGACAACGACATAAGCGAACGCGAGAGCGCGGCCTGGCAGCGCGCCTAGTGATCTTCACCAACTGACCTCGCGGCAATGCGTTGAAGAGAGGCAGTGGTTTCAAAAAAAAAAACAGAAAAATTAAAAAGCAAAAGCGAGGAGCGCGCATATTACACATTACTTTGTTAATGTTTGCAATGCAATATTTTTCTTTTTTGGTTTTTCTTAAATAAAATATGAGTAATCATGTGGAGGCACGACTACACACTTTGTTGTCTGGCGGCGTCAGAGCGCATAAGCCAGCGGTGTTGTAAGAGACACGTGAAGAGCGAGCGCCAAAAAGCAATATGTGTGTGAATGTTTACATTATTTAATTTAAATTTTTTTTTAATTTTTTTTATTTTTTTTAAATTTTTTTTTATATTTTTTTTTATATTTTTTTATTTTTTAATTTCAATTTTTTTTTTTTTATCATACTGTAGCGTTTTTATAGCGCTTGGCGCCAATGTAAAATCATATACAATAAATAAATACAAATTTGAAGGACTTCTTCAACGCACTTGCCCAAAGTTGCGTTAAATTGCTGCTGCCATTGCATGTTTAAGCAATTTTTGTGGGTTTTAAATTAAAGAAAACACACGCAGATGAAGCGTTGAGACTACAATTTGTAGATCAGAGTCAGGGTCAATTGCACATTGTAGTTGTTTGGCTATGAAAATGTTCAATACAAAGCGGGCAAGCGAGAGAAATCATAATTTGTATAGGAATTTAAGGTGGAAACGGCATGAGAAAATGTGGAAATTTACAGTTGTGCCGCCTTACACAGCTAATTTGCAGTATACGGGAAGAAATAATTAAATAATATTGTGAAAATAACTAAGTAAAGTGCATAAATTTATAAAATGAACCTTGCAGGTAATGAAAATTATCATAGACACGCAATTATGTATAATATAAGTATGAATGTGTGAATGTATGTATGTATGTACATATGTATGTTGGCTGTTCGTGTGTGCCTGTGAGAGCTAAAAATTGAACGTCGACAATGAGACAATGAGGCGATGACGAATGTGCTAATAAAAATGAACTTGAAATTAGAAACGCAAAAATTTTATGTACATATGTATGTATGTGTGTGTGTGTGTGTGGATATGAATGTAAGAATGTGAACTTATTAGGATTCAAGTTTACGGAAAAAATTTAAAACTTAATTTAAAAATATTATAAAAAATAAATAAAAAAAAACAATTTCAAAAAAGTTAATATTGAAAAATTATATGAAAAATAATAAAGAAACTGTAATGAAAAAATATATAAATAACAAAATTAAATATGATAATTAAATATACAATATATTCTTATTCATTTTTTATATATGTATATGTGACCTGGTCTACGGAAAGGGGGCTTCGGTATCAAAAAATCAATTTTCACTTTTTAGTTGATTCGGATGGAAGATGAGATGTTTTTTTTTAACAGCTGTTTCCCAGAAAACTAGTTTACTAGCACGTTAGCTCCCTTTTCGTAGACCAGATCACATATAATAATTTATTATAGTTTTACTTCTAAAAAACAATTTTTTTTTAA